TCTGTCCTGACAGTCAGTTTGTCTCAGGAAGGTAGGCTCATTGTACTAGAAGCTGAACAATCCCAGGACTGTGATGGGGAACTGGGGAGAAACAATGGCTACATTCTCAAAGCCAGGGAATAAAACAGAGCTCATTGTTTTTCTAGCATAGATGGGGGCTCATTCATCTTATGACATAAGACAAGTGACAATTAGAGGTTTCAAACCAAAGTTGGTATAGATATAGTTTGTTTTTCAGATTTAGACCAATTTATACAACAGAACTTGATCTGTTAAAAAAGAAAGGAAAAGAAAGAAAGAGATAGAGGAAGGAAGGAAGGAAGGAAGAGAGAAAGAAAGAAAGAAAGAAAGAAAGAAAGAGAAAGAAAGAAAGAAAGAAAGAAAAAATCGGCCCCACACAATTGTTTTAAAACTTCAGTACTGAGTAAGAATTGTTGGCCATGTGCTGAGTTGTGGCCTGGGTGAATAATGGGAAGTGTTTAGGGTTGATTGCCAAAGTGTCTATCTGTTCTGGAATTTGACGGGTCAGGGGCATACACTACACAGGAAGGAGTTTCTCTTGCTAGAATGAGACTTCATGGTCACCTGATCTCCCCAGAATCATTTTCATGTAGTCAGGGTCGTAGATTATCAGGTGAACTTTACTTCCCCAGAACCAGCGTGGAAAGGCACTTGGGAATTCCTCTATCCATTTCAGCAGCTGAGGCAGATCCTGGTCTGGCTGGACCTGTCACCAAGGGAAAAACAGCTCAGCAAGGATTTTTGTTTAGTTCTAGTCCTTTCGGTGCAGTGAAGGGCAGGACTACCACAGAGACATAGCTGTGGATCATTCAACAACAGTTAGAACTTTGGAGCTGGTTGCTAACCTATCTGTGTTGTCATCCAGACTTTGCTGTTTGCCAGGACTTTCCCTAACCTCGATTCTGTGCCCCGTTAGATGAAGCTGTGTGTCTGAGAGAAGTGATGGGTGTCAGAGGCTCAGTTCTCTATCTGAGCTCCATATCCTTCATCTCTCCTTAAGTGTACTCAATGCACAGCCCCTTGCTGAGCTCCTCTCGCTGTATTCCCTTATCTAGCCAAGAGCTGGCATTGCAGGGAGTCATTACTGTCTCTCTGCAGCCCGCAGCCTGCTCCTTTCTCTCCTTCCTTGGTGACTCCATAGACCTGTGCCAAATCCAATGAGCTCAGAGCACAAGGAGAGTGGAGGCTGAGCTGGTAGCTAAAAAGACTGTTTAATGAGCAACTCTAGTGTCAGTACTCCTCATGGGCAGGAATTGTGCTGCTGTCCCACTCATGAGTGCCCATGACTTTCAGTACATTAGCCTCCAGTATCACCCATTTTGGAGATTCCCTCAGTCTTGGGAAAATCTCCACCTGACATTTTACACCCTCCCTGTTAGAGTTTGCATGTGGCCTGACACCTCCTGAGATTCATGTTTATCGTGAACACCACAGATCAAGGATGCCATCGCACTGATATCTGTATTCCCAGGCAAGCTCAGGCCCATGCATAGAGGTTGGCATCAAATTACTGGAGCAGGGTTGGAGGCGTGGTTCTAAGCCAGAAGCACTTAGAAACCTGGCTTTTCCAGCACTCTGGAATCCTAATGCAGGGCTCAAAAGTTTGAGACCAGCATGGGCAACTCAGAGACTAAACAAGGCCCTGTCTCAACATAGAAAATAACAAGGGCTGGTTTGTTGAGAACAGCTGAGGGAGCTAGGGGTGCTCATCTTGGAGAGGATGAAACTCAGGAAGGGCCAACCACAGCCCCTCCAAGTGCAGAGCTCCAAGGTCAGGTGACAGATCTGCACAAGGAAGGAGCAGGTGACAGAGCCCAGTGACAGCTGGACCAGCTTCTTGTGAAGCAGTGAGCTCCCTCAGGCTGAGATGAGCCCCACCTGAGAGGAGCTGGGTGCTCCTTGAATACCACATGACTGCTACATGGTAGGTTTGTCCTGTGGGTTGCTGGCCAGGCTGAGAGCCCCAGTTTCCCTGCTATCCCCCTTCCTGCTTCTTCTTACCTTGTGCCCAAAGAACCAGTGGGAGGGTGTACTTGGGAACTGCTGGAGAGCTTTGAGCAGTCATTGTCTGCGCAGGTAGAGCTGGGCTGCCTTGAACAGTAGCAGAAGCAGGGCCAGCAGGGAGGTCACTTGGAGGAGCCCAGAAATGCTGCCTGGGAATCTGGTGGGGCTGAATGCAGAGATGCTCATGGTGCAGTGGCTTCTGGATCACTGACAGGTTCCTCCTATCACTTACCCACCTGACCTGTTTTGTGGGAGGATTGCTGGCCAACCTGTGGGAGGGAGAAAGGTGGGGGTGGGGAAGGGGGCAGGGAGAAATGTGAGGGTGGGCCTTTACTAAAAGTTTATTAACTTGACCAGCCTACTTTGGGAGATAGAAAATGCTTTGTCAGCTGTGATAATCATCAGGCACACACTCACTCTTCCCCTTCATATCATGCACAAATATTTATTTATCCACTTATCTGTTTATTTTCCTTTTAAAATTGAATGTCATTTATTATTATTTTACTTGTACATATATACTGGGCACAGAGTGATATTTTGATACAGTGTGTTCTGATCACTGGGCTAAGTCTGGTAAAGGAGGGGGGCAGGAGAAGGAGACAGAACCTGTGTGCTCATGGGCAAGATGGCTGGTGTATTTGGACCATCGACCATTTGAAGACAAACTGTAGATGGTGTCATTCTGGTGAAAGACATTCCTTATATGGGAATATATCAGGTTATTCAGGTACCCAATGGCTTGGATGTAGGGCTGGAATGTCCTGAGTGAGGAGATACAGAACAGATTGAACTGAGAGGAGGCCTGACTTGGAGGTAGAGTGGTAATTCCCTCAAAGGTGGGGGGACATGCAACACTGAGGCACATGTTACTTCTGTCTTATAGCCCTTGTGGTCCTTGGGCCTTTAGAAGATGGCATGAGCACCTGGGCTTCCAGCCATGCTAGGAATCAGTTATGTGCCTGGGGTAGTGTTGGATCTAGACTGGAAATGCAGTTGGCCTGGGGCTAGAGCTAGAATCTTGCTTTGTGCTAGGAATAGTGCAAAGCAAATGTGGTTGGATTTACCAGGAGAGCTGCCCCACCTACCTCTCAGGTGAGTCCATATCAGTATCAAGAATAAGGACCTTGTAGTCAAAAGTCTATCACTGACCTATCCAGTTGGATACTGCCCTGGTAGCTGAAGGCACACTTCATGATCGAGTCCAGTGTCATCAAGGAGATGTGTTGAAAGATCTCCAGAGGGGAATCCTGACTGATGAGCTGCTCCCATCTGTCCTATGGTAGAAGGGTAACATTCACTTTCTTGTTTTCTCCAGAATTCCTGTGTTAAATAGACTAGGTTTTTCCCCTATACTTCTAGATTCTCACAAATCATTTAAAAATTAAGCATAGCATTGTATAAGACTTGAAATAAATTTGGAATTTTGGCAACCAGCTATATTTGTTTTGACTTTTTTGATTAGCAAAATATAGTTTCAGCAGATAAAGAGAAGAGGATTATTTAACATTCTGAGAGCTGAGCTTGACCTGAGGGACTAATAGGACTCCAATTTTAGGAGAGAAATGTGTCAAAGCTAAAGAAAGTGTATTTCAACTGTGGGCATATTTAATGGGGGCTGTGGGTAACTTTGATTCTTGTTTACTCACTAAAAAGCTTTCTGAGAACAGTTGGGTCAGAATTAAAGTCTCGTTGAGACATGATGGTATGGGAGGTTGACTGTGAGAATGTGGACCTGGTGTCCATTTCACTGTTACTCAAAATCCACACAGAATCTTTGTGGCCCAGGCAATTAAGTGATACGCTGTGAGGTCCACTGGGCCACAGAAGCTGCCCTTGTTGTTCAGGCCAGCCGGGGACAAGTAGTCCTACTGTTTGGTAGCAGTAAATTGGAAAGAGCCAGACTCACCAGCATCACTTGAACAGAGTTGGCCATGATTCCCACATAGGGCTTCAGGATGTCATAGTGGAAGGCTGGGGTCAACATCCGCCGGTGCTGGAACCACCTCTGGCCATTCAACAGGAGCAAACCATACCCTGGGCCAGAGATAGGTTTTTGGACGTGTGTGTGTGTGTGTGTGTGTGTGTGTGTGTGTGAGTGTGTGTGAATCAGATCCTTGGATAATCTGGGAGGAACTGTGGTGTGGAACTGGGAAAGACAGCCCTCAGGAAGGTGGAGTTTCTTGGACAAAGGCAGGAAGGACAAGGTACATTCAGGAATGTGGATTCCCACTTGGGCTGGTCCATCTGCTGTGATTATAACAACCCTTAGATAAAGGTTAAAAAGTGTTAGGGGCAGATCAAGGAGGGGCACAAATAAATGCCAGGCTAGGAATGTTTGAAGAGATATTGCAGAAACTGAGCTCATTCAGGAGGGCTCATTTCAGCATTAGGAAGAAATAAGGGTCTGGTGAGAAGAAGGACAATGAGGGTTGATTTAGGAATGGTTCGTGACAGTGGTGGCTCGCTACCTGTTGTCCTCTGTAAGCCAGAGAGGTGGCACTTGGGAAACTTACTGGGCAATGACTGTACTCCTAATTTAGACATACATACCAATCCAGGGTGCCAGGAATCTGTAGGAAGAATTGGCCTTTGGATCTGAAAGGTAAGCAAGGAAACTGAGGCCTAAATAATGTAGCCCTGTGGAAACTTGTTCAGACCGCGGGATGTCATGAATTCTTGATGACTGTCAGTTGGCAGTTGGTGCCATGTCACCTCCCATTGCTTCCAATCCCTTCTAAATCTGTCCTGACAGTCAGTTTGTCTCAGGAAGGTAGGCTCATTGTACTAGAAGCTGAACAATCCCAGGACTGTGATGGGGAACTGGGGAGAAACAA